TATCTTAGGTGCCATCAATTATTCTGTCAAAGAACTTGGATCCCAATGTTATAGAACTAAAAAGCCCACTTCTTCCATGAAGGTCATGTACTTGTTTACAGACATGCTTTCATAATGTTGAATCACTTATAGTAATGTTTAAGAACATGAAAATTGTATAGTGAGGGTTGGACTGGATGACCCTTGTGGTTTCTTCCAATTCTATGAATTACCATCTCACTTCGTCAGCCCCTTTTAGAATGACCTGGTTTCTGTTTCCTCTTCACACTCCTCATTTGTTCTCAGCCATCTTCATTTGCTGCAAAGAATTCGGATTTCAAAAGTAGTTTGCATCCTGCTAATTTATCAGAAGTTGGAGCACAGGAGGGGACAAAATTATGTTCTTCCCTGTGCAAAGTTCAGGCAAAAGCAAGCTACTGCAGCTTTTCTTGTCTACTCTTGTTAATACCTTTTGCCATCTTGACCACCATCTAATGTTGATTGGCTACATGTGTCCCAGTTTCCATCTATGAAGTGTTGCAGTGTATTTTTTTTAGAGTATGCAGCAGCCTACATTGGATCCTGGCCAAGGCTGTTAGACCATTTTACTGATCTGTTTAAATAGAGATTGTATTAAGAAAATGTCTAGTATAGTCCTAGACAGTTTGAACACAGTTTGAAAACCACTGCTATCTGTACCACTTGATGGCCAAATATGTTAATAATGATGTTTGCTATCATTTCTTTGAGTTTTTGTGTAAAAGTGTATTGTTTTAATCATTAATGTATCTCAAAAGGAAGTATGAGGCCACAAGTTATGGGGGAGTGGTCTAGTGAGTAAGGGCAGGTTGCGGGGAAGTTTGTTGACAGAAGATGTTCAGTTTTCACCATGAAGATTGATAATACAATTTTATGTGTACACAGAACTATGCTCCTTTCAGTTCAGTTGAATTTACACCCAAGGAAGTGAATCAAAATTGCATCCTAAAATATTTGGATGGGGTGATGTTACAAGGATATAAGGCAGATTAAACTTCAAAAGTTCACAGAACATTTATGAATTGATATTGCCAAGGGGGCTGGAGAGAGAAAATGGAAGCTTTGAACCTTGTTCAGTGACAGTCAGTTTTGTATAAATCATCAAAGGTTTGAATGTTCGCTAGTAAGGTTGCTGCTACCATTCATTAGAATTTTTTTAATAGCTTTACCATGCTTTTTGAAATTCATCATTAGTACCAGTGTGATTTCTTCTTGAATTGATACCATTCATGTTATTTGTGTGCAAAATCCTCATCCAAACAAAATATGAGCAGAAGCAATAGAAATCTAGGATTCCACTCCCATTACAATTTAACAGCAGTTACTGTATGTAAATAGCAAAATATGTTCCCCTATGTACATAATGGCCAGCAAATGGCATGTCTCAAAAATTAACATTTAATTATCGTTTGGTTTATGAAAGTGCCATGTGCGCTTGAGAGCAATTTATAAATTGAGTAGTATCTAATATTCTTTTTTTTATCAAGTAATTTTACTATTTTGTATTTTCATCTATTATAAAAAGGTATCATTTAAAATGCAGTGCTCAAGTCTAGTTCCTTATATAGTTTCTTATTGTCACATTGACTTAGAAGGGGCTAACAAAGGGGTATTTTGTTAATTGCTTTTTTGTTGATTATTTAATAGTTGGTTGCACAAAATAAAAGGAAGAAAATAAAGCTAGGGGTACATATAGTTCCTGCAGGGGGGGAAAAAAACCAGATTACCTGCAAAACTGGAAGTACTTTGTATTGTCGAAGGCTTTCATGGCCGGAATCCATGGGTTGTTGTAGGTTTTTCCGGGCTATATGGCCATGTTCTGGAGGCAATTTTTCTCCTGATGTTTCGCCTGCATCTATGGCAAGCATCCTCAGAGGTAATGAGGACCTCATTACCTCTGAGGATGCTTGCCATAGATGCAGACGAAACGTCAGGAGAAAAATTGCCTCCAGAACATGGCCATATAGCCCGGAAAAACCTACAACAACCCATGGAAGTACTTTATTTATTTATTTATTTATTTATTCATGACATTTATATGCCGCCCTTCTCACCCTGAAGGGAACTCAGAGCGGCTTACAGGTAAAAAGTAAATGTAATCTATAATATTAATATTGTGCTATGGTAATAATATAATATATTGTATTTACTTTTTACTTGTAATATTATACTGTAATATTATTAGTAATATTACATTTAATATAAAATATATAATAATAATATCATATTATTAGTAGTATATTGTCTTACATTATAATATTATCAATAATATATGTATATACAATACATTATATTATATTATAAGCACAGTGCAGGAGACAAGATGGAACTGTCTTCATGGCTCCTCTCTTCATTCTGATCTCATAGCAGCGGTTGGTGCTGGAGGGGGAGGGGCTCCCAACTGATGACACTGAAGACAAGAAAATATTCTTCCGATTTTGACAACTTTTTCCCAGCCAGCAGCCATTCAGAGCAGTCTTAGTTTTCTATAGATATGTCGTAAAGAATCTCAGCTGTATTTGCATATCACTACCCAACATCCTCTTACAGCTGACACTTCTTTCAAAGCCATACAGGTGTCTGAGTAAGTGCACTACTACTCTACTCCGTTATTTTTAACCTTTCTACATTGCAAATAAACTCTCAGCCATATTCTGTTTCAAAATGCTGAAAACAACTCTCATCTTGAGGGGCTATCACTTGAAATCTGCTGAACTTTTCTGAATCACACAATTCACCATTGCGAGAGTTTTGTGGCCTCTATATCCTGAAAACATTGACACAAGATTGATTCCTTTGTGCAGAATGTGGATAATCAGAAACCTTAGTGAGCACAAATTCATGCCATGGCATCAGGTACTATTAAATTGAGCTAAGAGAAAGGTTTGGATTACACGATTTTGTATAAATGGTTTTGGGCTGCTAGCAAAGTTAATAAAAACTCAAAACACAGTTGTACTGAAAGCCTTTACTGTCCCATTGATATGAATGTTTTAGTGGCATTTTTCACATCTTGTTATACTAATGGCAATTTCTAACATTAGTGGGAGCCATGGGAAGTGAAATAACTTTCAAGATTGGAATAATGAAAAGGAGGTGATTCATTTTAGGTCTATTTCTGAGCAGTTACCGTCATCTGTTGCTACATGACCCTCTCATATAGTTCATGGATACACCAAAAGAGGGTTAGAATCCGTCCATCAAAAATCTGATCAAGACCTTGGGTATCCTTCTCTTTGTTTATGAGATTACACTGCTGTGTTAGTTATGTTTTGTTTATTGTTATGTGCCTTCAAGTTGTTTCTAATTTATGGTGACCCTAAGACAAACCTATCATGGAGCTTTCTTAGCAAGATTTATTCAGCGGAGGCTTTTCCATGCCTTCCTCTGAGGGTGAGTGAATGCATCTTACCCAAAGTAACCCACTTGTTTTCCAAGCACAAGCAGAGATTTAAATTCTATTCTCCAGAGCCACAGTCTAACGCGCAAACCACCATGCTGATCCTTTTCAAATTCTAATTTTTGTGTTGAATGTTGTATTGTCTTGCTTATCACTCTTGTTTCTGTACTTAAGCCTGTTCTTTGTCCTTTTGTCTAAGGTTTATTCCTTCATGTTTTATTATATTATATTATAATTATATAATATAATATAATTAATTATATTAAACTGTGTTTTCTTTTCCTTTATCTGGTGATGATGCATCAAGCTTAGAGTTATTCTCCTTTAGTCTTTGCTTTGTATATTTTTCTGTTTGGCCAGGTAATTAATTCCTTTGGTTTGATATATCATTTTCATGCTGATAATATTCAAATTCAATTTCTGATTCTCACATTATAATCCATTCTTAATACTATTATAAATTGTAATCTGATATGAACAAACATGAACCCATATTTCCTGAAGACTCTTCCCATGGTTTCCTGTTTATACTTGAATGACATGTTCTGATGGCTGATGGCTCAGTTAAACCCCCAAAGTCTACTCCCATGGCAACAACAAAGGCTGGTTGGTGCAACTCTTGAAATCTCAGAGCTTTGAAAGCATATTCACTGGCTTTCTTATTGACCACATCTTGCATCTCATGCATTAGATTCTTCTCAGTATGATTTTGGTTAGGATTTCCCTATCCAGATTTGCCTGGTATTGACTTATTACATTGATTTATTGTAGCTTTCCCCTATAGTTGAAGAATTTTGCCTATAATAAATTCCTTCCCTCTTCTCTCTCATTAAAATGTCTTGTTTTGCACTGTAAACCCTTAAGCTCATCTGCATTTTTTCAAATATTTATTTAATGTTTCCCTATACTTGTTTTTCACAGTATTTTCCATGTCCATTCTCTTAATCTGCCTATTGTTTCAACTGATTCTTAATTGTATTTTTGAAGGCAGAGTAATATTATTTAACATTTTTGGTGTGAGGCTTCTAATAATTTTGGGTGCTCTAGGAATGATTATGATTTTAGTTTTCTCTGTAGTTTTCATATTAACTTTAAGCTGCATGTCCTAACCTTTCTCTTCCTGGCCTTGCTCCTTCTCATCAATTTTCATTACTTTCTTTCTCTTCATTTTCATTCATCAAATACTAATCTTCTTACTAAATCTCCTCTCCCTTGTGTTGTTTCTTGGATGCATGTTTTCATTCATGGAACTCTTTACGCAAACAGTTGGTTACCTCCTTTATGTCCTGTATTTTTTAATAAAAATATATTAAATATTGAAAGTCTTATATTCTTTGTGTTCCATCTATTGTTAGGTTTTGTTTTTGTTTCTTTTAAATTGCACTCACTGCATTACATTTCCCATTTTCCATCCTACCCCCAATAATTATTTTAGGTCAGAATCTGCAGACAGAGACTTGGCTTGTTTTATTCCATGTGCGGCATCTGATGTATGTTACCACGTGGTACTTCAGAACATTTGAACTTGTAGTGGTGATAAAAGTGGCACTTAGGAATTTTCCCATCTTTCTGGTTGATACAGGGTTTGCTGTCAATTCTGCGTAAATTGAAGAGTGCACCAGACCAGGAGGTCAGGATCCTCCTTCTGGGACTGGATAATGCAGGGAAGACTACGCTTTTAAAACAGCTAGCATCTGAAGATATCACCCACATCACTCCAACACAGGTAAGAAAGGGGACTTGTGGTCTGCCAGGAATTGTATGTCTGAATGCAACTAAATTAGAAATGTCATGCATGGGAGGGATGCATAACAAATAGAATGCAAGGGCATGTGGTTTTCTCCTCCCACCCCCAGCTTTGAATTTCTTGTTATGTTATGTAGATTTTCGCGAGGCAAATACCACATTTATGTTTTTAGGGGTTATGCACAGATCCTGATTTCAATCCAATGTGGTAAATTATTCTACCTTTAACTGTGTTTCTTTTCTGTTCACACAACCAGATATACACATATTAATTTGTACATGTTACAGACCCAAGTTGTGTACCCACTAAAATGAAGCATAAATCATTTTGTAAGAAAACTCAATCTTTATTAGGTTAGAAAAAAAACATATATGAAAGTCAGGCTCATCTGTACTACATTTCAAGAAATGAAACGAAGTTCTACATTATAAGCTTCAAATATCAGATTTTTGCAATTGCATAATGCGTATCTAGAATGTGTAGCTGTTAAAATATGTAATGACACTCCCCAATGGTCCCAGTTCATAGAATCCCCAAATTAGCCAGGAGGTGGTGCTAGAGAATGAGCAAGGTTAGATCTCTTTCCCTACAGTCCTAGACTATGAGCGCATTGCCTGTGAGATGCTCCCACGCCTCAGAGCAAAAGCCCACCCTCAGATTCCAGTCTTACAGCCAATCCCCTGTATTGTGTGGCAGCTCCTGCCAGCCCACACCACATCCTGTTTTTCCAGTTGCACACCCCTTTCAATTGGAGCTTTAATTGATGAAATGGGCCCTTCGGAAGTTCAGCTGTTGCTTCTCATTTTCTCATATCAACTCACATTCAGACTTCTGCTTCTCATTAGCTCACACATTGGGCTCAGCTTTCAGGAGTTGAAGCTTCTTGCACGGCCTTGTGCTTTCTCCTTATCTGCTTTGTTCTGTCACCTCTCACTGTACCCTACTTTTTTCTTATGAGCTGCAACATACATCTTTATAGCTCTGACAGAAACAAGCTCTAATCCATCCAAGGCTGCTGTATCCTTCACCTTGCCCACAGCCAATCCATCTGAATAGTAACACAGGCGTTATCTTGTTAGGGTTTTCAGAGTGGTGATATATAATCTGTGAATGGTGTATGTCTGTGAGGCCCAGAATAAGGTTGACAATAATTGTGCTTCATCTTTGTTTGCCACAGGGATTTAACATTAAGAGTGTACAAGCGCAAGGATTCAAGCTGAATGTGTGGGATATTGGTGGACAGAGGAAGATCAGGCCATACTGGAGGAATTATTTTGAGAATACTGATATTCTGGTAAGCATTGGCCAGTGCTGAGTGTATTACATGGTACAGTGATATTAAAAAATAATAATAATTAACAGCAGCTTGGCAGTCTTAATACTGACAAATCCGGAGTGCTTATATGAAATTTGGGGGGGGGGGGGKCAAATAGTCTTACAATTGCTTTATTATGTCCATTTGATGTTGATGCTCAGTGTTGCAGGCTGAAAAGCATGAGCCAGGTTACAAGATGGGGTCTTTCTGCTCAAATATAATGTTTCTCTTGACAGTCCTATATAAACCACATAACAAGGATGCCACTAACACCTGCACTGCACACGGAGAAATCCTATTTGTGCTTTTCCCCTTTTGGCAACTTTTACAGAATGCATATAGGTGTCATTAACATCTTGAATGTAAAAAGGGCTCCACATGTATTACCTCAGTAATATAATATCAACAGTTGTGTTAGGCAAATCAGCATTACTATGTTCGTATAACAGTTAATGAGCAGTGAACAGATAGTGAGGTGAACTAATAGTTTCTTGACTCATAGGGCAATGTCATCCTATGTCAACTTTTACACCAGTGAACGGTACCTTTAATGCTATGCATTCATAGCAGCCAAGCCAATACCACGATATTAGCTAGAGCATCAGTTCTCAAACTGCTCTGCAAAGCACAGTCAGGAGCTCTGTGGGAACTCTCCCAGCCCCGCTCCCCGGAAGGATGAGGTCCCCCTTGCACCTCTAGCAGCGCTACCTAGGAGGCCCCCCAGCCGGCACTTTTACTGTGATTTTCCTGCAATCAGGTTGGATTGGGTGGCCCCAGGGTTGCTCCCTCTGTTGTTGTTATTGCTGTTGCTATTGTTGTTGTTGTTGTTGTTGTTGTTATTGCAAAGGCTGGATGGCCATCTGTTGGGGCTGCTTTGACTCTGATTTCTGGCAAGGCAGAAACAGGTTGGTTTGGATGGCCCCTGGTTTGCTCCTTTTATAATAATAATTATTATTAGTATTTTTTTTCAAAGGCTGGATGGCCATCTGTTGGGGGTGCTTTGACTGTGATTTTCCTGCAAGGCAGAGCAGGTTGGATATTGGCTCCTGGGATGCTCCTTCTGTTATCATTATCATTGGTATTATTTCAAAGACTGGATGGCCATCTGTTAGGGTGCCCCTGGGGTCTTCCACTGAAACACTGTTAAGTTTATGTTGGTTAAAATTGTTCTTCATTTTGGATATTGTATTGTTTTTTTTCTTTCTGTTTGCACTACAAACAAGTTATGTGCCATGTGCATAGGAGTTTGTTCATTTTTTCCAGTTTATTCAGACAAATATTCTCCTCACATCTGCCACTGGCCCGATCAATCTGCCAAATTTTAAAATGCAATGCGGCCCCTGTGTCCAATAGTTTATTGGGGCTCGACAAAAAACCTGTCCTTCAAAAAGGGCTCCACAGCTTTAAAAGTCTGAGAACCCCTGAGCTAGATAAACAAAAGCCAATGTGTAAATGTTACATATTGCTTATAGTATCCCTGTCCATCTTTGGCTATTACCCGTCAATCTTCAGATCACTTACAGAGGACATCCTCAGGATATGTGTGGAATGTACATGCAGTGATGTCCGAAGAGCCGCTTGACTCTACTGTGTCCTATGAGACACACATGCATCATTCAGAAAGGCTAAAACACTATCCTCTTTACACATCACGATGGTACATAGGCTCTCTATTGAGGGTATTGAAGAAAGTCTTTCTATGGGCAAGCAACAGCTTTTCAGGCAAACATCCAGTATCCCACAGGTAAAGGAGCAATGCCATTCCAATCAAAATGTCCAGCCAACTGCATAGTCTGCTGAAGAGGGTGCATGAATGACAAAAAATTATGTGTTCTACTGAAGACCATTTCAACTTCCATTGTGAGCTGTCATAGAGCCACTTAAAATATAACTCCAAACAAGACAGTTGTCTCACTGTCTGTATGAAGGAAAAAAACTATATTACAAGGACGAGGATTATATCACAAATAAAAAAGCAATAGGAGGAATTGCTGATTAGCTCAGTTGAAAAAAACACTGTAGTGGGACCATACCATGGATTTTCTTCTCCTGTTGTACGGAGAAAGTGAAATGACAGCTACAAAGCAGAATTTGTCTTTTAACAGTTATGGCAGGAGTTGTCATGCAGATGCATAAAGGCAGGAGCAGGAAGAGAAGCATGACAATTGAACTGGAACAGATACCTCCTTTTGCACAAAGTAATTCCCTAACTACACAGTTATTCAATCAGATGAATGGGGTCATGCTCCTTGCTTTGTCCTTTACTTTGGCATTGTCTTCAAATATAAGAGCTCTGCTGACACAGGATTTGTTGCTCTGTTGATACAGATTGAGCATATTTTATCTGGAATTCTGAAATCCGAAATACTCCAGAATCCAAAAATGTCTATGGTAGTTGAGATAGTGACATCTGTGCCTTCTGATGATTCGGTGTACACAAATTTAATCTCATGTGTGACATTAATTAAAAATATTGTATAAAATTGCCACAAACTGTATAGAGGAAAGTAGGTATTATAGCTGTACTCGTTGGGTATAACATGTGGATAGTATTGTGCTATTAGGATAGATAACAGCACAATCATATACAATATATACATACCATATACATTATTTACTTTAAAATATCTAGATAAAAGTGTGGAGGGGAGTGAGGCCAGACAAAATCAATTTATAACCAAAGGGTCCCACAGAAATAACGTCAAATCAGAAGGACATGGATCGTTCAGTTAAAAGCCATGGGAAATAAAAAGATCTTGATTGTATCATAATATTGGTGCCTCACAAATATTATGAGGTCCACACTCCTGAATTATTCAATGTCTCTTCTCTTTTGCTGCCTAACATCAAGATCTTAAAGATATACTCCAAGCAGGCACAGATTTTATTGCAGTTATTACTTGGAAAGTTGTATAGAAGTTAGTTGCAGTTTAGGGCTCCATAGCTTTTCTTTGATAAACTTGATTTGCTGATATTCCCCTGCAATATTACAGATAAATCTGTTTAATTAAGAAGAATATGTGTTATAGCTAGAATAATGGGTGCTAAATTACTATGTGAAACGATTAATATGTGCAATACTTTTGATTGACTGTATTATAGTAGGCTTGACTAAACCTCAAAGAGTTTTACTTGCATAATGAACAATAAAACTCTAATACGGCCTTGTAGAATTCTTGTATAGATAGTAGAAGACAAAGAAAATTGGAAGTGTCATTTGCTATGGCCAAGTGAATTATAATAAAACATGCTTTCTCCAATCTTAGCTTTTGTTTATCTAGTCCAAGTGGTTTGTCAAGAAACCTTGATTTTTTTCCTTACACACATTCCCTTGAAATCAGTTTTGTGATACCTCTTCTCTCCTTTTTGCAGTTATCTATCATAACTTCCTTCATATCTTGTTATCTGATGCATTCTTTTTATTGTACCTGGAGAATTTTTGGAAAAAAGAACAATTTTAACTTGTGACGAGAGTTCCTTATGCTAGCTTCATTATGACCAACAGTTTACAGTGAAGAGAAGCTAGAACATGGAATCCAAACTAGCCTGGTGTATGAATATTGTAAACCAACAACATGTTTGTTAAGATGCCTGCCTCAGCTCCAAACTGAAGCGTATTACACAAGTGAGAGGCCCCTTCAAGAATATTTTTAACACATGAAGTGATTGCACATTCATAAACATGCAGGTGTGCTTGAATGGGAGATACTCCAGCCACCCACACCTGTGCTATTTGGAAGCTCCACACAGTCAAATAAAGGTGTGTATATTTGAATGATTGCATATTCAGACACACACCTGCAGCTCTTTGGCATTGAGCCTTCTAGTTATTGGAAGTAGGCACTTGATGTGTGTGTATCTTGGTTGGTACAGTGCTGTTCATTGTGGTATTTCCATTAGGCCTGCAGTCTCAAGTTGTGAGTGAGATTCTTCTCACAAATAAAGCATAGATGAGAGGTCCTTGGAGAACAGCCAGATGCTGCAGGGATTTGGTGGGTGATTCAAGTGCAGGCTTCTCTTCAGAGGATTAAACTAGTGTTTCACCATAACAGTAGAAGTACCCTTACTAGTACGACTGTTCTCTTTGTGGGAGAGAAGCACAGCTTCACCCTACATTCAGTGTGTAGCAACTAAACTTCATATGAAATCAGCATTGTTAACTCCAATAACCAGAGAAAATCTCAAACAGAAAAAAAAGTTGATTCTGTTTGGCCATTTTTTCAGAATCTTAAACCAGTGTTCCACCATTATTTTGGCTCACAGCTTGTTGTGAAATTTTCCAATTTACCACTGAAAACTTCCATGTTTAATTTCCAGGATTAGTTCAGGGAGGGGCATATGTGCAAGCAAGGATATTGTTCATTTATAGCTTATTGTGTTCCATGTTTTCAGTTCAGCTAGCCAGTGAAATTTAGCTGGCTAGCCAGAGTGAGGGAAATATTCTGTTCCTTATGATGGTTTTATGAATATTTTGTTAGCTAATCTATAGAGACTATGCCCATGAGTCAAACCCATAAATGGGACATAAGCACTTGAAGGGAGAAACCATAGAATGCCAGAAGCGAAGTGCCAAAGATAATTGTATCCATCACACCCATTTCCTCTTCTGACAGGCTGAGAGAAATTCTTCCCACCACATAAGTAATTACACTACACTAATATGTTGACTCACGATTTTCATAGGGTTTTCTTGGGCAAGGAATAGTCAGAGGTTGCTTGCCACGTCCTCCTTCTGAAATATGGCCTACAGCACCTGGTATTCATTGGCAGCCTCCCATTCAAATACTAACCATGGTGACCCTGATTAATTCCCAAGCTCAGACAGGATCTGACGCCTTTAGGATAATTACTGTATTAAACAGTAAGTTACCCATTTGTAAATGAATTTCTGTGTTCACATTTGGAAATCTGAATACGTTAACACATGTCCTTGTTCCTGATCTTGCTCAGGTCTTTCTTTCATTATTATAATTTTGTGCCTCTCCGCTCCCCTTTCCATATATACTGTGTACCTGTAGCATGTACCTGTAGTATTTATTGTGATAGTTTTAATTAAAGGAAGTTGGTGTTCTGGCGCTGTTCCTTAGTGCAAGATTTACAGATTTGAACTGGAATTAATTCCTGGTACGTGTAATTGGGAAAAGGATGTTACTGCCAAGGCTCATTATTTGAGTTCACTTATTTCTAGGGGTTTTTCCACACAGCCATATAACCCAGAATATCAAGGTAGATATTCCACAATATCTGTTTTGAACTGGGTTATCTGAGTCCACACTGCCAGTTCAAATCAAATAACATGGGATTTTATACAGTTGTGTGGAAGGGGCCTAGGACACATCATCATACATTTCTGTTCCACTTTTAATTCCTTTTCATTATTTTGATTGTAGATTTATGTCATTGACAGTGCTGACAGAAAGAGATTTGAAGAAACAGGCCAGGTAAGTCAGTCACATGTTTGAAAATTAAATTAACCCCTTTTTGTAGATCCTGAAAAACATAGAACAGTATCAGATATTTGAGGTGGGAAAGTTTGATTTTTAGAAGCGAACTAAAGATAGTTGTAATATTTGAATGATAGTTTTCTGCTAAATTAATGAAGGAACTAAACATAGAATGACCATTCTTCTAAGGCCCTTTTCAGTTCCATTCCCCACAAATACAGAGTTTCTATATGTTACATCCTTACACCCTTAATAGATTATGCTGGGAGTACAATTTTTAAAATATTAAGGGTTTTCCAATAATGTAATCCATTGTAGGTGAGCTTCTGATTTATGATGCAACTCTCAGCAGTAGATAGAGTAATAGATTATTGTCCTTAGAGAGTGATACACTGTTTCCATCCAAAGTATCTTACTTAATTACTTGAAACAGAGGATATTGTAAAGCATACAGGGACATGGTTTATAAAAGAACATAAGGACATTGATGTGGGTTAAAGTGATCCAGAGTAACATGATGCCTTATTACATAGAGATTCAGAAGTAGTTGTACATAGGTAGATCTTCAGTCATTAGGATTGTAACCAGCATTTTTCATTCTGTAATAATATACACTGCAGGTTTAAGATCGCATAATGTTATAATCTAGACATCTAGACACTGTGCAGGCCCATTGCCTTCTTGTTCTAAGGTCATGTTACAGTGAACTTGGGCACAGAATGAAATTATCAGGCTCTGTTTCCTATTTTCTTAAACCATCTAATCTCCAGTGCATTCATTTATATTGTCAACAAATGATGTGCACAAGAGCTCCGCATCTCTTCTATTAGCCACAACAGCTGCCTTCTTTGAGGATGGGTTTTGCTTCTGGGATGAGATTTTATCAGTACTGTCCCATCTATGTATTACAGTTGATTAAACTGGATCAAAGTTCAAAGTGTGCAGTTAGCATTCCTGCAGAATTTGAAACATGTGTAGGATAAAGCCACCTGTTTTCAACGGCTGCTTTGCTGTGCTGGAAAATCTGTTGTAACAGTGCCGGCGTGTGTTATTTTTTGCTGTGTAGTCAGTAATGCCAATTGCAATGGTCTAGACCAGGGTTCTCAAACTTTTTCAGCTGTGGAGCCCTTTTTGAAGAAAATGTTTCTTGTGGAGCCCCAAGAAATGTTTATATATTATATGTACATAATGTATATATAGCAAGCATGGGCAAACTTTTGAAAAACAATTTTAATCATCATAAACTTAACAGTATTTCAGTGGAATACCCCAGGGGCCATCCAGTCCAACCCCCTTCTGTGATACAGGGAAGGCAGAATCAAAGCACCTCCAACAGATGGCCACCCAGCCTTTGAAATAACAATAATAATAAGGAGAAGAACCAACCTCAGGACTGGCCATCCAGTTCAACTCCCTTCTGTCATGCAGAAAAAGCACAACTAAAGCACTCCCTGAGTTGTGGGAGGGAAATGGGATTTTGGAAGCAAGTAAGGTGGGGAGGAAATCATCTGGGCAGTGAAGGAGGTGAGGGGGAAAGGGTTTGGGCAACAAGGGGGCTGAGGGAAAAGGGCTTTTGGCGGCAATGGAAATGAGGGGAGGAGGAGCAGTAGGAAAGAGGAGGGAAAGCTTTGAGGGGAGAGAAACATGGAGCCCCTCAGTATGCTTTGCAGAGCCCCAAGAGCTCCGCAGAGCGCACTTTAAGAACTGCTGGTCTAGACTATTGGGATCAGCAGCAGAGGTGCTTTTGGCATTGAAGGCAGCTGGTACTATCAGATGGAGCTAATGGCTCTTTTGTTATATATTTGGAAGAATTTATTTTTAAGTATAGGCTTGGCATTTGTTGGTGTTGTTGTCATTAAGAGGTGTATGTTTATTATCTCTCGGGTTGATAGCACACCTAAGATGATATAAAACAGCCAGTTTTTAAAAATGACAATAGCAAATTAAAACAGTCCCCAAGCCCAACTCTCAACAAGACCATGTGAAACAAGGTAATCTGGGCTGCTTGTTGAAAACTTAGCAGTGATAGGGTAAGCTGTCTTCCCCATTCACAGCACTACACATATTGGAGTTTTAGACTTAACTATACTGCTCACTGTGTCTCTCATACAGACCTGAGGTGTCTCCACAGAAGTGTGGAATCACTGTTTCATGCACTTATAATGCTATCATGCCTCATTAAAATGTTCAGACATGTGTCAAAGTTAAGGTCTGCAGGTGGAATCTGGCCCACCATGCCATTTTATGTGTCCCTCCAGATGCTGGACTACAAGTCCCATATTCCTCTTAAGGCTCTTCCATGCAGCCCTATATTCCAGAATATCAAGGCAGAAATCCCACGTTATCCGAGTGTGGACCCAGATAACTCAGTTCAAAGCAGATATTGTGGGATTTTCTACCTTAATATTCTGGGATATAGGGCTGTGTGGAAGGGCCCTTAGTTAGACTTAAACAGTTTGTTCTGTTTAATCAGGATAGTGGGGTTTAGATTTAGATACAAGGCTTGCATGATGTTTGACATTAAAATCCTTTCCCCAGTCTCAGAGCCACAATTGTTGTTGAGTGGCAATTCCAATCATCCTTGGTCTGTGTGGCAGATTATCAAAAATTATGGGAATTGTCATTCAGTAAGATCCATGGACCCGAATTGGGTAAAAACCGAAGAGCACCATAAAGAAATTATAGTTGGCCCTCCTTGGATTGTCCATGGGCATGTTTAGCCTGCAAAAGAGAAGGCTGAGAAGAGATATGATGGCCATGTATAAATATGTGAGGGGAAGTAATAGGAAGGAGGGAGCAAGCTTATTTTCTGCTGCCCTGGAGACTAGTATGCGGAACAATGTCTTTAAGCTATAGGAAAGGAGATTCCACCTGAACATTAGAAAGAACTTCCAAACTGAGAGCTGTTCAGCAGTGGAACTCTCTGCCCCAGAGTGTAGTGGAGGCTCCTTCTTTGGAGGTTTTTAAACAGGCTGGATGGCCATCTGCTGGGGGTGCTTTGAGTGCAATTTTCCTGCTTCTTGGCAGGGTGTTGGACTGGATGGCCCATGAGGTCTCTTCCAGCTCTATGATTCTATGGTTCAGTGGCCCTGTGAAGGCAACCATAAGACTGATGTACCCCTCAATAAAAATTATTTTGACAAACCTGTGTTAAGAGTATAGCATCTGCCTTATATGAAGAGCTCCTTGAGCCCCTCTGTGGAGGTGAGATAGGACAGGATACAAATGCCCTAAATAAAGAATAAATAAGATTAACTACTTGAGGTGAAAGGTTTTGAGAAAGAACTTTCATATACAAATAAAATAAAATAAATAAATAAATAAATAAATAAATAAATAAATAAATATGTTTTTGCGATTCCAGGAGCTGGCAGAGCTCGTGGACGAGGAGAAACTTAGTGGTGTTCCTGTACTCATCTTTGCAAACAAACAAGATTTGCTGACGGCAGCTCCTGCAGCAGAGATTGCAGAGGGTCTGAATTTGCACACAATCCGTGACAGAGTCTGGCAGATTCAGTCCTGCTCCGCCCTCACGGGAGAGGGAGTGTCGGTGAGGAGACAGTATTTATTCTCAAACAATTGCTTTGCAGTGGTCTTAGTGGGAAATGCATTCCTTCTGTTCTAGATCAGAATATACAATACATTTGTTGTAAAGCAAATGAAGCTAAACAAAACAAACACTGTTTGTTGGTATGTGAAGGAGGTCGCTGTTTTTACAAATCCAGACTTTGATATAAGATGCACTGTTCTGCAGCTTAAGTCCTTTGTTGCTGTCTACCCTCCTATATAGATTTTCTTGCTTTCTTTTCTTTATTGCCATTGACTACCTGATCCATCTATGTGTAGTAGCATCTTCAATTACAAAGTACGGTAAGTTTCAGTGTCACTGTCATCAGGCATCATAATTCTCTGTAAACTGTACTTCTGCCTGTAGAAACACTCATACAAACACACATTCATTTATACATGGTGTTTCAAAATGATAGACCCAATTTCAAAGCAGTATATTTCATGATGTCAGCATGTTACAATTACACAAAAAGTTACATACGGTTTTATGGGTTTTACCAAGTTATCAAGTTTTACTAACCATTTTAAGCCAAAAACAAATCTAAAAAATAAGTCCACAGATGGAGAATATCTCATTAGACCTTATGTTGCAGGGTTGCCATCTTGCAAAAACTGAGTCTAGAGCCTTTTTTGAACTGATAGAAGCATCTAGTGGTAATCCATTGAAACTCTATGTTTCACCTTTTCAAGAGACAAGGGTTTCATTTAGGGGCGGTTCATGGTTTTAGAGACAGCGATTTCAAATAGAGTCCATCTTTTTGAAACACCTTGTATTTCACAGTATCTCCAACACAAACAAAGAGAATGAGAAGGGAAATCACCATGCATATTATATAACCTTTCCTATTGGGCCCTGAAAAACTGAAATATAATCAGCTGCAAGTAGGGATATAGTTATATGTTGAATCCAGTGCAAAACTCACCTTGGTGAGGTATTATATTGTGTCACTTAAAAATATGGAGAGCCAGCATTGCTATGTTTGCAGACTTGTTCTGTTGTGTGGGCCTTGGATTTCTGCCTTGGATTCCTACTCTTGTACAACTGCATTTCTTTTTCACTGTGTCAGTTTGACTTCATTTGTTTTACTCTGTTTGGAACAGCTGTCACAGTAAGCTTTTCCAGACTTAAAAAAATAGCAACACATTGTCCAGCAGTACTCAAATGTAACTTGATAAAATAAAACGCAATGTCTTGAGCAACATTTGTTCTTGTGAGTCATAGGGAAAATCTAGTTAAATCAAAGAGAATAGAGCCAGGTGGGTCCACAATGTCTTTTAATGTGTTACAGGATAGGATAAAACTGCCAGACTAATAATATTTAAGAGTCTTTCAGCACGATGAAAGAGTCAAGTAAGCACAGGTTGGTGAGGCCAGTCATATGCATGTTTATTTCGAAGTTTCGCTTCAGAATTCACTGCTGCAAAAGTGCGCAGAAGATTGCAGCTTAAGACAGTTACCTTGAGGAGGATCTGGTTTTAATTCAGATCATTTGTGAATCTGCTGAACACCTTCACCTTTTGTGAGCTTTGAGCTTAGTTTTGGAAATTGTAACATGACAAAAAGCAAAGCAACATATTCCATGCAGTCAAGTGGTACTACTAAACTAAATTTAAACTGGGTTGTCTATCTCCTTTGCACTTATTAATTCATTTTTTATCACTATCTAATTTCATGAATCTAAGCTAAAGGTAAAAGTTTCCCCTTGACATTGTCTAGTTCTGTCTGACTCTGGGGAGTGGTGGTCATCTCCATTTCTATGCCAAAGAGCTGTGGCCAGCATGACTGCATGGAGTACCGTTACCTTCCAGCAGAAGTGGTACCTATTGATCTACTCACATTTGCATGTTTTCAAACTGCTAGGTTGACAGAAGCTGGGGCTAACAATGGGAGCTCACCCCGCTCCCTGAATTTGAACTACCGACCTTTCAGTCAGCAAGTTCAGCAGCTCAGCTGTGTCACCAGGGGGGTCTGTAGGTCTCCAAATCAGTGGTAGACATATGCCCAAATCTTCTGGGCATTCAGTTGCTATTTCCCATCATAATAATTTCTACTATAGGAATGAACAAATGACCCACGCAAATCACACAGTGAATCAAGGTTTTTCCTTGAAAAACAAGGAGACAGACAGGAAAGCTAATTAAATGCATTAAAGATCTGTATATATATAACAGAAAATATGCAGCAGGAGAATGTTAAAACATTTTTTCTTTCTACATTATATTTCTGTGTCTGTCAAACTTGAATGATAAAACATTTTGAAAGAGTTAGCCACCATGTCACATCCTCTTTGCCAAGGAAAAAGACCCAATGCAAACATTGTGGGATTGGTTCAGACAAAGACCCCAGGCCCAGGGTGAGTGTCATGGTTGACTCACTGTGTTACATCACATAGGTCAACCCTCCTGTCACATGTTTATCTGCATTCATAGCATCAAAGTAAAACATTGGGTGTGAGATAACACACAGCTCATTTTCCCTATAATCTGTTATGACATCTGCAAAGAACAGATATGGAAATCCATACAAAAGGATGGAAGAGCCAGCTTTGGGAGATATTTTAAAAGCAAGTGTCACCCTCTCTCTCTCTTCAACAAGTGCAGGCCATTTTATAGTAGCTCCTTTGGCACTGCAGTTTCTAAAAGTATTGTGTGAAACGTTGACTTCAATTTCATTTTCATGTTTTGTACCATGTTTCATTTGTAAATACAAGAAATCTGTTTACCTAACAAGCTAGCAAAATAACTTCATTTTCACCTCCCAAGTGCCTGTATATTTGCTTCTAAAGCACAAATATAGTATTTTATATTGCAACATATAAACTTGAGCTGCCTCTATACAAGTCTGTCAGTATGAAATTACTATGCCGTAATTGAATCGTCATCCTGTATTTTACCCGGCACTTCCATGTTTTCCTCAAATTGCAACAAAACCACCTTTAAAAATGGAAATAACATGATCTCTACAGATACAAGATTCCTTTAGTGTTACTTCTTTGTCTTATTTAAAGGATGATTTTTTTTTAAAAAAATGCTAAAACATTTTTTCAGGTAATTTTTATTGAAAATAAAATGCTGTAATATAATGCTATAATAAGAAGTTTGCAAAATCTCTCAATGGTATTTAAAAAAATGAATTGTGTTACTATGTTGTCACTATTATACAACAGACACTGATGATGATATAGAGTATTGGTGTTGAAAGAGTATACCACTCTTTTATGGGGGAAAGAAAGAGGCAGCAGTCTAATACGTGAAATATACACATACCATACAGCCTTGTCTAGATGCAGATTGAGAAACTGCACACAGAATGTATTAGGTTGATAAATTAGACCTTACTGCCTTGCACATCTGGTTGTGGTGTTGACAGTAGAGAGCAGAACTCAACACTACTGTTGTTGGTCTCTGCTTTTGATTGCTGAAGCTTTTTTGTGGGCATGAAATTTGGCCACTGGAACCGTGCCAGTCAAACAAACTACCCACAGATGGTAGAATGAAATGTTGCTGACATTACCTCTGGTGACAGTTAAACTCTATGGCCCCAAACCAAGTCTAGCAGTAAGCAATTTTCAAAACAACTGGTCTGGTGGCTCAGTCAGGATGAAGGTGTAGGTCTCACATGACTATAAACGCAAACCCTGTCAGTTCATTAGGCTCTCAGTACATGAGGATAGTAGTACACTTCTGCCACCCATGTGGAAGCATGCTTCTGCACATGGGTGCCCCTTGCTGGTTTGGAACATGTTAGTCTATTCAAACATCAAAAAATACTTTTGTTTTGGAAGAAAAGTTGTGTTCCAGCTGGTTTAGTATGTATGCATTTTCAGGGTGCAGTCCTATGTCCACTAACCTAGGAATATGCCCTATTAACTCAGTGGGACTCGCTTCTGAATAGATTTATTTATTTGTTTATTTATTTATTAGAATATTTACATTCTGTCTTATATTTGAAGATCTCAGGACAACTTAAAGTAAAAATCAATTTAAATAAATAAATAATAACAATAGTTTTAAAATATTAAGATAGATTAAACAGTTTGCCAATTAAAATCAGAGCACTTTCAAACGAGAAACCCATTTTCAGTGGTATAACCATAAGATAGGTGCATCTTGAATAAAATCAGTTAGGCCTGAAGGCTTTAATAAAAAGCCAGGTTTTAACTTGATGCCAAAATGATCTCCAGGTTGGCATCAATCCCTATAAGTGGGAGACAGAGGAGGGCTTGTCCAAAGAGATCAGTTCCCAGATAGGCATATATAGAGAAAGGCATTCTCTCAGGTATTGAGGTCCTGATCCATTTAGGACCATCACCTTGAATTTAAACCAGAAATAGATTGGCAGCCAATGCAATTTCTTCAGAACTGGTATTACAGGAATAGAATAAAATCCCAGTGAGCAGCCTGTTGTATTTTACATGAGCTGCAATTTCCTAGCTGACTTCTAAGGCAGGCCCACATAGAGAGCATTCCAATAGGCCAAGGTAAATTTAACCTGGGTGTTTTTTCATAGTTGGGAAGCACTACCACTTCTTTGGAGCAGTGTGCACCTTACCTCCTCTGTGTCACTCCTGCTGCCACTCCTAACTATCCACACAGCACCATGAGAACTCCTGGCCATTGCCGGTTTTTCTGCAAACATAAGAACAGGGTGGCCATGCAGATAGGAAGAAAGAGGGGGAATTGAATGGTCACATGGGCACCTGTCAGAAGATGCACCCATGTGAACCAGGAGTTCCCATAGAGTTCTCTAGACAGCTAAAAGTAGTGCAATGGTGACATGGGCATGATCTGTCCCCTTTCCCTCCAGTGATGAGTGCAGGGAAAGGGTAATAATGCAGTTGTCCTGCCTGCATAGTATATCAGGTCAAATCAGACCCAATCTAGCTGTCCAGGCTGCCCGAAGCCACAGGGTAGACTCCAGAGCTTCTAGCAAACTCTGGGGTATTTCTTAACTTTGTCTGAAGTAGGGAAAAATCGAGC